TGGCTTTCCCTTATGGTAAGAACTTGGTCAGAACAGTTGTAGATGATGAGGAGCAGAGTAATGGTTGCAGCCTGCATAAGCAAAGGAGTTTTACTATTATTTTTGGATGGTTGTCTAAGGAGGTATAAGCATACTTCCGTGAAAGTGTTAGATTCAAATGAGAAAAAGATGAAACACCAATCAAAAGAAATACGGTAAGAATCCACAAATAAAAATTAGTGATTATACACATGGCTCCCAGAGTAAAGCAAACAACTTACCATAAGCATAATTCCATAGGCATGCAAATCTTGATTTGATGTGTTTGAATTGCAAGAAGTCAACTTGAAGCAGCCTGCAAGATCAATGAGCATAAAACAAGCAATCCAGACAACATGACATCACCCAGGCATAAATCATATAACCTAAAAATTTATTTCACAAAGTCAAATATGCCCCGCAGTGCAGTCAGATGTAATATACAAAATAAACAGTCTAAGCAGAGGGCTTACGTTTCTCAGATGTTGAACCCACCCTGCAGTAATGTCTGAAAAGGCACACAAAAATAGATAGCATCGGGAAAAATGAATATAAAACCAGCATTTTAAGCTATACATAGAAATAATGCAAACAAGATAATTAAATATTTTGATATGACAAATATAGAAAAAATGAAACTGGCAAAAAGTTGGAGCTCTAGGAGAAGTGACTAATTGCAAGGATGAAAATTAATACCCACTACTGCAAGGCATTTCTTGGGTTGTTGTTGGACAATATGACCCCACTGAACAGAACATTTCACTACTGCCACGAACATCAGCCCATATATTGGCTCCTCCACAAGAGTGGTTCGGCCGTCCCGGAGGCAGCTGGTAAAGATATCTGAAAACCATATCAATAGTTTTAATATGAACCTTCTTATAGCCATAGGCAATTCAATTTGTAAACTAATGTTTAGAAATAGTAGAACTTACGGCTCACATATACCAGTAGCATTATTGAGTGGCAACCAGACAATGAGAAACCAATGGGCAAGCTTTAGGAAGACAGCCTAAAAAAAAGCATGTGAAAAAAAAAAGAAATATCTTTTAAAATGTGTTAACAAAACACTAATTAAGCATGGAATGATGCTTAAAGATGACAAGTTACAAGGGTATATGCCAGCAAAAGATACTTGAGAATTGATGGCTATTAGTGTTGCATATTTCATTACTAGACTAGGCAACGAAGAAACTCAATAACTAGAAGTATGAAAATTAGAGAGCATATTATAGATTACTAACACCAGGCAGAAAATGCACTTTGTTTTGCAGGATTCCGAACAATAAATAAAAATTTGCTATCTAGGAAGAAAGCATTTACGGATTCTTATATACGTACAAATCATGCACGCAAGACCACGAGGGCAGAAAATGCCCTCACAACAAGCCTGACAATTACGAGTCCTAGCAGGAACGACTTGAGAATTTACAAGGTCAACCTGCTGGTTTGAACCAATACTACAAGCCCATCCTGGCTCACAACCAGAAAGCCAGGAGGTTAAAATTACAGTTCTTGTTAGGCCTCAAAGTAGTTGCACTTGAACTTTTAAGAAAAGCATCAAAGTAGAATTTTGCCTCTGCTGCTGTGCACAAGCGCCGCGCAATATCTCCTGTGGAACCAATGAACATGACAGTACCATACAAACACATGAGACAACAGAATAAAAGAAAATTTTCACATATCTAATTCAATTCAACTAGTCTCAGTTCCAAGTACATGGTTGGTTTATGCAAGAAATCTCTACTTAAAGCTCTAACTTATGTTAAGGCAACACATTTTAGAAGCACTACTAAACACGATGTTTAGCAAAACATTATAGGAAGAACACTGTCAAAGCTTCAAAATTTTATTCTCATCTCTCTCTACATTTCCTTAGCTACCAAAGAGAGCAAGTAGTTTCACTCTTGCTAATTACGTATATTTGTACCTTTAGTTTTCTGAATACAGGAAGCCAAGAAGTCCAAATTGGATGAAAAACTGAATGCCTTATTCCAGTGAGCCTTCCTGAACATAGAAGCACCTTCAAACTCAAACATGATCCAATTCCATTGTATGTACAAATATACAAGACTAAGAAATAAGTATTACCTCAGAAATTTTGTATGAAAAATAAAGAAAACAATATATTACAAAATGAAAAAAAAAAAAGACTTTCACTTTGTAGCCAGAAAAGAACTTATGGCACTAGTTAGTACAAACTTCATTCACATGTGGCAGCCATGCTTCATTTTTATTCATTATCGAAGAAACCAAAAGAATACAGAACTCAACAGTTCAATGCAGTTTACTGTCTTACAAGTTTTTCAGCAACTGAACAGAGTAACAAAAAAAAAAAAAAAAAACCAAAAAGTATAAAAGAAATGGCATGGCAAAGCATAAAATAAATGAGCTTAATACAACTAAAAAGAAGCTAACCTTCTTCAATCAACCAAGATCCTAAAGCAACATTAAACATAAATGATAAAACGAATTCAAGTCCCAATGTTTCCTTTTCTTTTCCTCATCAATTCAATTTTACAACTCGACAATGAACAAGTAAAACACAGAAAAAAAAAAAAAAAGAATGAAAACTCACTGGTCCTTTATGCAGAAACTGGCCTGGTCACTAATATCCTTACTAAGAACTGTAGTAAGATTAGAAAGCCTGCTATTAACAAGGGATGTAATAAAGGGAAGAACATCAGGATTGTCCACTTGCTCATAATCATTCAAATCTTGACATTGTACCATATTCACCAAGAAACTCAAAAATACAAAAACCCAGATTGAAACTGACCAAAAAGTACAATTTTTTAACTTCTTTACGCCCATTTGAGCATTTGAAAAGAAACCCAACAAAGAGATGATTTGTTCTTTGAGTTCTTGTGACAAAAAATGAAACTCTGCTTTTCATTAAGTATAAATATGAATACCTGGAGCTAAAGAAAATTGTTAATGAGGAATATAAAGAGCTATTGGATTGGCTTGAGAAACCATGTGGTGGGTTTCAAAGGTCAAACTTCTAATTATTTTAGGAAGGCTACTATGCCACTATTTGTAATAAGAGGAAAAATTATTTTCATTTTTATATTTCCTTTCCTTACTGGTTTTCATGCCAATGGCAGGGTGAGAAAGGCAGATGGAAAGAGTTAGGAAGAAATAGTGAAAGTGGGACCCTTGCAAGAAGAGACCTTGTCTAAAGGACTTCATGCTTGTTTGCCGGCTTTAGCAGCCAAGACATGTTTCGTTGTGCTGTCTGGTTTTGAGAAGATAACTGTTTGTAAATCTGCTTAATACAATAGACTCCCATCCTATCAGACACTGAACTTTTTTTCAAGTACAGTTGTAGTAAATTATTTTCCGCAGTTGTAACTAGTCATGAAAAAATATTGAAAAGCTATTCGTATCAGACCTGAAAAAGAGGAAATATAAATTTTATTTTTATTAAATTGTTTATAAATTTTTAATTTGTATTATTTTTATTTTGTATCATTTTAATATTTTAATTAAATTAACTGATTTAATTCTGGGATTAAAATTAAGCCAAGTCATCTGATCTTAAATGTTAAAATGAATTGTGATCTTTAAATAAGTAGGATAGTTCATAATTCGACTTTAATCAAATTAATTGATTGAATTAATTTAATTTATTTAATCAATTAGTTATTGAATTAATTTTAATTGATTATTGAAAATAATTTTAAAAAAATTTTGATTTTCGAGTAATTTAGCTTTTAAATTGAATTAACCAAAATTTTAATTAAAATATAATAAACATATATATATATAACAAAAAATATATTAAACTATGAATTTCATTTCAAGTTACTAAAGATTTTAACTTAATACTTTGATATTTAAATATTTTTATTGGATAATTTTATTTCATTTGTTTTAAATATAAAACCTTAAGAATTTAAGATATAATATAAATTATTATATTTTATTATTCAATTAATTAAAAAAATTAATTGAATCAACCGAATTAATTTTAATCAATTAATTTTTAAAATTATAAAATTTAATTCAATTAATAAAAATAAAAAATAATCTTATTAGTTTAATTTTAAATAATTCAATTAAAAATTAACTAAAACAATCGAATGAACACATTTACGAATAAGCCAAGATAATCATGGCTTAGTCCATGTAAGCTCTAATTTACACTTTACATATTTCAAATCTTTTTCGTTTTTTTTCCCTAGAAGAGATGAGGTCTGTAAGACCTGGTGCTACAATTTGATATCAGACTATAGAGGAGAGAACTAAACTTTTCACAGTTATCAGGAACCGTTCATGTATAAATCTATAATAAAAAGTATATTTGGGTTTAATAATGATTTATAAGACCAAAATTTTCATCTTATAAGTGCATAATCTAATAAACCTGTTAGTACATAAAGCCATCATCCACCTATTTTATGTTAATATTTGTAAGATAGTTAATAGTGTTCAATTTTTAGTATTAATGATTATAGAGATAATAAATCAAATTAAATCGAATTTAAATTAATTATTTTAGTTAATGTACATTATTATGAATTTTGATTTGAATTAGAATGAAAAATATTTTTTAAACTGAATCGACAAGAATCAAATTCATTTATTATTAATTCATAAAATGGTGAAAAATTTTGTCATTTAAAAAGTTTAACAAGATGTTTCGGTTGTAATCAAGCAGACGAAGTACAATTATAAAGGTGAAGGTGAGCATTGACTGTTTTAAAATGCAGGCATGACCGAAACTTTAATGTACAAGCATGAGCACTAGACAAAGAGAAGGTTTGTATTAATGGAGAGATGAAATTAACCTAGCTTTATTACATGCCTTTAATGTACTTGCAAGAACACATTTTCCATCCCTTTAATGCACTTGCAACACATTTTCCATTATCATTAATGAAAAATAAATGTTATGATCCATATGTCAATATTGTTTCATTAAAAATAATGTTATCACCAAAGTGTTGAACCTGACAAATTGAGAAGATGATAACATTATGTCTCCATTCCAATTTTGCCGTTCATTGATGATTGGAGAAGGTGGATTTGGTGGTGTGCATAAGGTTGTAATCCAAAGCACAGAAGATTCTCATAAGAAAATTGATATTGCTGTTAAACAGCTCAGCAGGCGAGGGTTGCAGGTTAGCTTTCCGCTTTTGTAATGTTACTGTAACTAATCTCACTTACACGGTCGCTTTTATCTCGTCAAAGTTAATCTTACCGTCCATCCAAATGGACCGTGAGTCAAACAAACAATGAGTATATTCCAGGAATGCCCGGTTGCTGGTTAGATACCTAACAGTCATCTCCTCAGCACTCCCTTCCATCTCCTGTAAACCTTCTTCTTGGGTCTCAGTCGTACTAGAGTCGGCTCTAGGGTTGAGGGTCTCGAGTTCGAACCCCAGTTGTAGCCCAAAAGACGAAAAACAGCCTCCATCTACCAGTGTAGCTCCGCCCATGCCTGTCTTCCTAGCCTTTGTTATACTGTTTTAGCATAGATTGCACTGCAATGCACCTTGGCTCCTACTTTTGCCTGCTAATGAGAATTTACTTTTAAAAAAGGAAAGCTCCGGTGATTAAATCGATTCATATTATATGTTCTTGTATGTAACTTGTGGTTGTCACAATTAATCCTTTTAAAGTATGTAAATGTAACATTTGTTTCCACTTCTTTGTTCACAGGGACACAAAAAATGGGTGACAGAAGTAAATGTTTTAGGGGTAGTTGAACACCAAAATCCTGTCAAATTAGTGGGTTACTGTGCTGAGGATGACGAAAGCGGAATACTGAGGCTACTGATATATGAATACATGCCCAACAGGAGTGTGCAGGATCACCTGTCAAGCCGGTTTCAAACAACTCTTCCTTGGGCCAGCAGAATGAAAATTGCCCTGGATGCAGCCCGAGGCTTAGCATACCTCCATGCAGGAATGGATTTTCAGGTTCCATTTTACTTCTCAGTAGATATAATTGAATTTGATAGAGAAATGTTATCCTTTTATTTGTTAAGAAGTTTTGTTCTATGATTGCGACAGATTATCTTCAGAGATTTCAAATCCTCAAATATACTTTTGGATGTGCATTGGAATGCAAAGCTGTCAGACTTTGGATGGGCCAGACTAGGGCCTTCAGATGGATTAAGTCATGTCTCTACCGCGGTAGGTTTGAAGTTGCTACTAATGATTCTTTTGTTGAAATGCATGCTGCATTGTAGGTGAACAGAAAATCCGTTCTACAAAGAGTGAATAAATTCGATTTCTATTTAATTTTTAAACTTAAAAATTCGCTATATTATGTTCATTTTTATAATATAAAAGTGTAAACGAAGATAGCTTTCAATGAACGGTTTGTGAAGATAATCGCTTTTGGTTCATTTATGTTAAGTTTAACAAAAGATCACAAACAATATTTCAGGGTCGAACAGATATTTGGTTTATTTACACTCCTTCCTCTCAGGCTCATTTTCTTCCATACTCTGCAAAATTTTCATAGGCATGGTCATTTTATAGAAATAGTGAAACTTTGTCCACTTTCTGAGCTGGTTGTAGGAACCATAGGATATGCAGCTCCTGAATACATTCAAACAGGTTGCCTCACAGCCAAAAGTGGTGGATGGAGATATGGAGTTTTCCTTTATGAACTCAAAACTGTTAGGCGTCCTTTGGATCGGAATCGGCCCAAGGGCGAAGAAAAACTCTTGGAATGGGTCAGGCCACACATCTCTGATATGAAGAAATTCAGGTTGATATTGGACCCTAGGCTCAAAGGGAAGTATTCCCTCAAATCTGCTCAAAAACTTGCAGTTGTAGCCAACGAATGCTTGGCACGGCAGGCCAAACTGCGCCCCAAAATGAGTGAAGTTCTAGAAATGGTGGATCGAATTGTGGAAGCAGCAGACATGGTGAGCCCCCAACTCCCCATGAAGAGTTCAACTCCAAAAAATGATTCTGAACTATCAAATGGAGAACGCTTGAAAAGAAGGTTTATTGATCTGATAACCCGGGAAAAAGGGTGTTTGATTTGGCGAAGATGGAGGCCAAAGATCATGTGGACTTGTTAAGTAACTGTAGTTGAATTTGGTTGAATTCTGCAAATTACTCTTGCCCCTGGAGATCGTGTAAAAGCAATTGTAAAGGTTTTATTGAGATAATCAACTACATGTATTATGTATAGGCTTTGCTTTTTGTGTAGGAAGTTTTGAAACTACCATATTTGAGAGATACTTCGTGCTCAAAGCTTAATAGCTTGAAAGAGTAATATCTAGTCAATTACGGATTAATTTTAAACTTAACAATTTATATATTTGTATTTATTTATTTTATATTTAATATGTATAAAATATAAAAATTATTATATTATATTTCGTGTTAAACACGTTAAATACAAAACATATTTTTTAATTTTTATCAAACTCAAATAAAATTTTTATTAAAATTTTAAATAATATATTTTAATATTTTTAATATTTATTATTTTCATATTATACCATCGTAATTTATTTAAAATTACCGGATTTGCAAAATTTCCCCAACAACTCAATTTCTAAAGCATTTGGTTATTCTTGGCTTTCATGACTCTCATCAATATACCTAAAATGCAGAAGCTGATGCAAATTAAGATGCTTGGCTTGATGCAAGCTGAGACCAAAACTTAATTGCTAATTAATGTATTCTCTGCCTTACTTTACAAATTCTATTTATAATTAGTTAAAAAAAGATTCTAATTGAAATACACACTTAATGAATCCTGCTTAATGTGACCTTTTAAAAATATTACATGAAATAACTTTGTTAAATTTGAATTCAACTAAAACGGATTTCAACCATCAAGTTCAGGTGTTTAATTTAGTGCTGGCAATGGATATGGTCGGAAAGAATTTTTACTCGCCTTAATTTCAATCCGATTTTATATCATATATATCTTACTCCGACCCTATTTAATATTAAAATATTATTTTTTATATTTGATCCAATTTATATATGTACAAAATTGTAATCGATCCGCTTTGAAATTAATTTAATAATTTTATTTAAATATAATATTCATAAGATATTTTTTAATATAAATTATTTCTTAAATATGCATAAATGTAGTACTTTTATTAAATTAATATCTTAAATTAAAGTATTACATAATAATTTTATTAATATAATATATATAATTATAAAATTAAATAAATAATAAAAAATATATATTTTACATATATACCGAATTAAATTGAGACGGATTTATTTAAAATCCAATTCTGATATGATATAAAGTCAGATTAGGTTGAAAATTGATGAATTTAAATATATTTACCATCCTTAATCAAACTTGAAAGAGTCCACATGTAGATTTGCATACTTCATCTGAAGTTAAAAAATATCTGGAGTATGCATCAGGGAAGAAAATGATATTAATAAAACTAAGAAGATTAACTACGTATGCATTGACCTTACATATTATAATGTTGTTATTTCTTAACTCTATCATATCAAACTTGAATTCTTTTCCAAGTTATTTCTCTCCTAGATATATAAATTAAAAAAAAAAAAACATAGGTCCCAGTACATAAATTAAAATAGTAATCAACATGCTTCTATGGACAACTAAGGAGACGGATTAGAAAACCAGTAAAAAAAAAACTAGTGTTCTAAGAGAGATCCTAAAAGTGTTTTTGATCAAGGGGATGTCTATTATATATATATATATATTCGTAAGTTATCAATAATTCTATGATTTATTGATAGAATATTAAATTTTTAATTTTAATGATTAAAATTTTATATTTAACAATTGCAAGTACCCAAAAAAATAATAATAATAACGGTTATGAAATAGATACTAATCTTTGCTTATTTGAAATCTAAAATTTTTTTCACATATTTTAAAATCAAAACTTTCAAATTAAAATTTCAAATTTTATTGTTGAATATATATATATTAAAAAGGTATCTATAGTGAGGTAATTTGAAAATTATAGCTGTCTTGCTAATTGTTGCTAATGACATGCCATTGAAAAATTGCAGTGTTTTTAAATGTAAAGATAAGAAGAAACAAGGGAAGAAGCCAAGAATTAAGTATGAACTTGTCAAAAATATCAAGCAGATTTAATGTTTATAATATACCTAATATTAAACTGATGTTGGGTAAATTTAGAATAGGGTGACAACGCTTTCAAGAGACAAAAAAATAAAAGAGAAATAGAGTAGGATGAGGCTTTGGACCACGTTTGTTTAGGGCGGCATGACTCTATTACCTCAATGGAATTCTAACCCTAGTCAAATGCTCAAATGGAAATTACCTTTTAAAATTCTTTAAAATCTATAGTGGAAAATTGCCAACGCTTAATTTAAAAGGTTCATTTACCCTCTTTGTAGGAGGTAAATTTTGATATAATTGCTGTAATTTTTCTAATCACTTAAACTAGATTTTGTAATTCGTATATTTATATTAAATTTATTTTATATTAAATACATGTAAAATATAAAATTTATTTTATTAATATGATAATACAAAACATAATTTTTTATTTTTATCAAATTTATATATATTATTTTTATCAAAAATTTAAATCATATCATTTTTATATTTTTTTCATAAATTATGATTATTTTTATTTAAAATTATCTAATCTTTACTAAACTAGGACTCGTTAAAGATTAAAATTTTATATAATAACAAACAAAATCGAACTCATAAAATAATTTTTATTTCCTCACATCTCAAATCTCACTAAATCAAAAAATTAGATATCTGTTGTATGTAAAAGATGTAAAATTTTTTTTAATAAATAATAGTATAAATATAAAATATCTTAAAAAATTATAAAAAAATAAATTTCATTAATATTTCCTCTTCTTTCATTAATATTTGTTAATATTACATTAGGGTTTATTATTTCAAGACTAATTATTTTATCAATTATCAATTAAGATTTAAAAAATGAATTAGATTGTGACAAAATCGAATCGGGTCGGGTAAATCTACTAAGAACCCCAGGCCCAAAAAGTCAAAAAATCCTAAAGAAGACAAGTGTAACGGGTCTCTGAGACTTCGGCTTCTCCTCCAGGCTTACGTTGTTATTTCCTGCTATTCTTTTCTTCTGCTTTCTCTCTCTCTCCTTGCCATTCTTCGCTCGCTGCTATCATTTATTTCAGGTAAGTTTTATTTATTTTTTTAGATTTTTAATTTAAGAATTTAATATTTATTCCTAATTTGACTTCTCTTATCTATATAACATAATTAGATTCTTTCTGAATTTTTTGTTTATACATTGTTCAATTCTTTGTTTTTTTATGCCTGAATATGTTTCCGAGATTGGAAATATTCTTAATTCAATCGAAACCTAGAGGACTAGAAAAAAATTTGTATTAGGAAACTTTGAAGCCTGTTATATTTAGCGATATTTGGGCAAAATTAATGCTTTTGAATTCAATAGCCTATGAAAGAATCGAATCGAGAAGGATATTAGTAAATTCGGATGGAATTGGTTTGTCTTATGTTAGCTTAAGAACTTGTATTATAAGATAAAGATAAAGATGTGAGAAAAACAAAAAAGAATGATTAACGATATTGTGTGAAATAAAAGGAATCTGAATCCAAAATCACTTATTTGTTAAAAAAAATTTGTATAGCTATTAATTATATTATATTATATCTAAATTTTGTAAAATTATTGAAATGGAGACATAAATCTGGACTTAAAAATCTTTTAAAATTGTTGAAATGCAATTTATTGCCAGGTGTAGTCGGATAAGATTAAAATATTGTCAAATACCAAGGCATGGTCAAAAGATTAAATGTTGAGATTAGAATTCATTGTATGCATTAATTTTCACTGATGACTATGTAACATTAAGAATTTTTTTTACTAGATGTGATAATTGTATGTAACTTAATTCAAAACAATTATATCACGAATGTTATAGAATTTTTTTGTAATAATTATGGTTACAATTATTATATCAGGCAAATCATAAACGCTTTTTGAGAATTAAGAGTTTGGAATTAGGTTTTTGTGGTTTTATTTCACTGGGCTTCATGTTCTTGCATGCAATGATTGCTTTCTCTGTTTTCTGGGTTTAGGTTTTTGTGTACTTCTTAAATCTATGTTAAGAAATTTCTATGTTAGTTTTTTTGGGGATTTTGCATGACATTTTTCTGTTTTGGGATGGTTTATATTATCATGTGCTGATTATGATTAATTTACTTTTATGTTCTTGTTCTCAGAATTTATTTTGGGGAAGATACAAATTAAGGTAGGAACGTGGATGGTTTTCTCTCATAAATTTTACCAATGATTACATGTGATATAGATCCTGATGTTGTTCGATGGGGTCTCCAAGAACTGCAAGTTTGTGTATTTAGCCATTCTGGTTCCAGTAGTGTTGTTACTCAGTATGACAAAGACAATAGTCAAAGGGGGTATATTAGAGAGGGTTATTATGAACCGGAGCATGTAAATGTAGAGAATGATGCGGTTATTGCACATGCCCTTCAAGAGGAACTCTCACGAGTTGCGGCTGCAGAGGCATCTGGATTTAACAATCCTAGCCAAGATGTGATTCTTGCCCAAGATTGGTCTGGCCTTCCAGGAAGACAGCATAGTTCTGGTAGCGGGAACTTCTGAAGTTGCCATTCTGACTTAATGATTGTTTTGACTTTTATTAATGTAATAATGTTGCCTATTGTGTATAGATCATGAAGATGATAGGAAAATCACAGAAGATTGCAACCAAACTAAAAGACACGCAAATGAAGATAATCATGGGAAGAGGGTTTTAGATGATTCTCTTATAAGTAGATGTGAACAAGGTGGTGACTCTAGAATGGGAGACAAAGTTTCTCTTGGTGAAGACATGTTGCAAATAGATATAATTGATCAGTCATCTGTTCTTGATGGTGAAGTAGAGAAGAGGTTGAATGACATGGTTGCTATTCCTGTAAGTCAAGCCTTGGAAAGTTGCATTATTTAATAGGATTTGAAGGATTTTCATGTTAAATTTTAACTGAAGTTCCTATACAGTGCAGTGGAAGCATCATATGCCACATTATTTGCTTTCAATTTTTAGTTGATTTTATCTTTATTATAATTTTAATGAAGTCCTTGTGTTTTGGGTCTCTTTACTGAGGAGTGAAATTCTTTGAATTAATTGTGGTAGCCCAATGAAGCGTTCTGCATCATTTGCAATCTCAAATAAGCTGTTCTTTGAATAAAACAATGCCCCTGTTCTGACTTCATTCCTTTTGTTATGTGGAAGTATGTCCAATTGTTAAGTTCTTGTTAATAATTTTGTAATAGCTTTTCTGTTTTAAGAGGAATTCTTCAGCAGTGAAGGCTATAAGATTTACCTATAAGTTTCTTTCCTCCCCCTATGTATTGAAAAAAGAGGGATCAACGTATTTAAATTTAATGGCAATTGTAATTTTGGTAATTGGTTATAAAATTTTCTAATGAATGTTATGAAATTTAGTTGAGTTGGTGTATGCTCTTTCGGTAAACGAATATTTTGGGAATGGAATGATGACTGTTTATCACATGTTGAAATTAATTCATTTGTTATATTTTTTTTCTATAAACTTCAACCATTAGAGTTTAGTAGGTTGGCACTGCTCGCCATTATCCTATACATATGATTGTGATTTAAAAAGGCAAAATTCTATTTGTGGATATGCATGTGATTTCTTGACCTTTTACTCTATAACACTAAGTTGGATCAGAATTGACGTTGCTAATTATGTGATTTGCATTGTGCAGCATGTACCTAAAATTAATGGAGAAATACCATCAGTTGATGAAGAGATATCAGACCATCAAAGGCTGCTTGATAGGTTTGGCTTGAAATTTTCCTTTATATTGCTAATGGCATCTTGGTCTATTTCTGATTCTCTTATGGTTTTGAGGCAAACGAACTGCACCACCCTAATTTTTAGGGTTGGTTTTATTTTATATCCTAATTTTCATATTACAAGAATAACATCCCAAACTATGATCTGATTCTGAGGTCAGCAATTTGAAGTAATGCATCTACATATCAGGCAACTAGGTTAGTATCACAAGTTGCATAATATTACATGGTTTAACAAAGACTAAATAACTCTCATTTTGGAACCTTATTTATCTCTGGACACTCCTTGGTTCAAATCTGCTCTTCCCTGCCTTGCCTCTCCTTCGCTTTTTCTCTTAGAATGTTATAGCCTTGCCCCTAATTTTTTGCAAGACTACTCTATGATTGAAATTGTTGGTTCTGACCAAGGGTCATAAAAGCTTCTTGTTGGAGTTTTACAACAACACCTTAAAAGATATATTACTCAAATTTACGCAGTGCTAGAATTTAAAAACTAAAGAACATCTCAAATTCCCAAACAAACAGCTTTTGGTCAAAATAAGAATCATTTGAGTTTAGCCTACCACTCTGTTCCTTCAAATGGTATTCCTTTTGCATTACATTATAAGAAAAGAAACTAACAAAGTCCATTGAGAGAAATCTCACCTATCAATAGTTAGCTCAGCTCATTAGGCTCTAAATTGGACTCACTAGAAAGATATCAATTGCTTTTAGGGATGTCAATGGGTAGGGTATGGGTAGGGTAAAGCATTGCCCATCCCCATCCCCGGATTTTTATATTATACCCATCCTCGTACCCATGCCCAATGGATATTTTAAATTTATCCTCATCCCCATCCCTATCCCCGTAGGTATTTAATAGGTATGGATAATCCCCATACCCTTAACTCTTAAAAAAAATAAAAACTAAAATTTTTTAAACTTTTTTTTATTTTTATCTTGTATATTTAAGTAATTTTTTTATAAATATATATTAATATATATTTTTCAATAAAAATATATTAATTCTAATTAATCTAAAATAATAATTTATATTATTTAATAAAAAATTTATCTACTAAATATATATAAATATATATAGGGTACAGGTACAAGATGGGTACTATGTTACCCATCCCCATCCTTATACCTAATAAAAATTTAAAATCATACCCATCCCATCCCCATGATATAATACCCATCTCCATCCCCATTCGGATAAAAAGTTGGGTTCCCCATTGGGTATGGGTAAGATTGACATCCCTAGTTGCTTTACATTCATTCTTGTGGTAGTAGGAAATTAAGTTATGAAAAAAGAAAAAATATGTTTGTTTTTAGATATATTTTTAATGGGGATCAAGGATAATTGAAGCCATTTAACCAGCATTTTTGGCATTTTTCCCTTTTGTATGATTGTCGCACATTTGGATCCATATTGATAAATAATTCAGCTTCTTTTTGGGATGGTCTTTTTCACCTGGTTTGAGCAAGTGTATTCTTTTACAATGAGAAATTTACTTGTTTAGGGCTCTTTTTGTTTTAATTCTGTAAAATATTTTAAAACTTGTATTGGGATCCATTCTGGAAAAGAAATTGCTCCTTTTTCTCATTCCCAATTTTTATTTTTTCTAATTGTTTGCTATAGACTTGCCATTCAAGTTTGGCATCTAGGGAGTTGTTCTTGCTTTACCATTTTTTTTCTTCTCCATTTTCTTAAAAAAAAAAAAAACTGTTGCTGTTAAGTTATTTGGTTAAGTTGTTTTTGAATCTTATGAATGTTTGATTTTAATAGCATATTCAGTTTAGAATTCATTATTTCGTCTTTCAGGTTGCAGTTGTATGGTCTGGCTGAGTATAAGGTTCAAGGTGATGGTAACTGTCAGGTTGTTTTTAACTTAATTCTCTAATAAAAAGATATGTTATATTGCATAATAATATGCACTGCTGAAATAGTTGTGAGATATAGATCCAAGCAACTGTGGTAGTGTGGTCAAAATGGTTCTTAATTAGGCATAAACATGTTGGATGAAGATAATATTGAAAAATTTTCGCTCTAATGTCATGAGTTTATTGTGACACTTCGCTATTTATAATCTTTATGTTAGTTTTATAGTGTCTTTATACCATAATTTTAGGATGGTGCAAATCATGTTTTCTATCACCACTTAAATTAGGCTGAACCTTTTCTGTTATTTATGTGTTTTTGGATAATATAAAATTTCTTGTCATTGCTGAATTAAGTTATCTATATCTAAATAAGTTCATAACTTAATGGATGTGCTAACAATGCACAGTATTCATATGACAATAGTTTGAACCTGAGTTTGTATAGACTTCTAAGGAAGGCAATGAAAATGAAAAAAAAGTTGGATTTTTAGCACGATAGGTAGGGTGGTTCTTCTGATTGTTAGTTACTTGTATTATGCACCCAACAAAAACTAGAACACATGGAAACATACATATGTACATATAATTAAGGAATTAGTTTGCAGTTCTTAGTTCCTTTCATTTTGGCTGTAATTTCAAATTGAATTGATACAGCTTTTACAGAATTTAGTCATGAAATTATGTTAAATTATTTAGGAATTATTTTCTCAAGAATATCATCAGTGACTGATGCTTAACTATTGATTAATTAATCAAACTTGATGACCATAGAGCCTTGCTTGTAATTTTCGTTAGTCCTCTTTGTCAATACCTTAAGTGATTTCTCTTGTTTTATATGTTCCAGTTTCGTTCTTTATCAGATCAACTCTACCGTTCTCAAGATCACCACAAGTTTGTGAGGCAACAAGTTGTTTCCCAGGTTGGTTGCCTTTTCCATAAGTTCAACTTTATCTAGTCAATTTAGTTCCTTTGGTGGCATAGTTCAACCTGTTAGACTTATGCTTCATTTTTATTATGATATGTTGACTTCATTAGATTAAATCAAATCCAAAGATGTACGAGGGTTATGTTCCAATGGCTTATGGTGACTATTTGAAGAAAATGAGCAAGTAAAAATATTAATTTCCATGCTATTTTATTACTAAAAACTTTCTAAGAACGCTTTCATGCTTATTATAGTTATTTACAATGATGAAGCAGGAATGGTGAATGGGGTGATCATGTTACATTGCAAGCAGCCGCAGATTCGGTATGTCAACTACCAAACCTTTATTTCTAACATGATTTAACTTTAGTTCTTTTCCCAACTGACTGTTGAATTGCAAGAATTTGAATGTAGACTATAAATTTTGTACCACTATAAGGCTTAAACTTTGCTAGTATATGAAACTGATTTCTCTTTTACATTGTTTTTTATGAAACATTTGCAATTTAAGTTCTATATGGATGCTCATCTTCTAAAAAAAGCATTAACATGAAGCTTTATCTTTGCCTATTAACTTTGTCACCACAATTAGTTTGTGGTTTCTATGATTGGAAAATTATGTGAGAGCAATGTTTTGTTCATTTTGCCTAAAAACATGACAATGGCTACGAATTAGTAGGTACAAAATAGATGATTTATAACTATTCATGTAAAATTCGTTCATATTAGTAAGATTTTAAGCCTTTCTTCATATTGGGCAATAAAATATATCTCATAGCATAATTATACTTTTTTTATCAAGCAATTTCAAGTTCTATTTTAGAAAATAATGGAGGACTTTAATTTGTATTTTTTTGAAGGCATTTAGTTATTGTGAAGAGAATTAGTTTGTTGGTTAATGCATGGTACGCTTGAGAACTTGCTATGAAGAGATGAGTGATTGTTACAAATATATGTAAACAACATTAAGCACATAACATTTCATATCTTGCATTATTTTTGCAATGCTAGTGTTTAACTTATTCTGCTGTGGACTATTTAATAGATAACTAATGTAAATTTTTTGTTTGATTGCAGTATGGGGTAAAGATATTTGTATTAACTTCATTTAAGGATACTTCTTACATCGAGATCCTTCCTCATACTCAAAAGTCTGAACGAAGTAAGATCTTGATGCTTTATATCTTTTTCCTTTTTCCTTTTATTGTATTTAATATTGGAAATGTAGCATTAATATTTGATCATGGTTCTTATATGTGAGATGTTAAGATATATCACTAGATTATAAATTTTCAAGGCCAATCTCAATTTACAATGCTCGTTGCATGCACATCACAACATTTTCTGAGATAAAACAAAAAACCCCCAAATTCAGATATGTTAAAAAAGTATGTCTATTCATTCTTTAAGGTTGTGAACTGGTTTAGGTTGTTGAATTCATGGATCCTCTATTCTTCCTGAATTTTGTATAAATTATATTTGTATTGCAGTTTATGTTTCCCGATTTTTGAGAAGTGGATATACTTGTGCTGTGGATACAGTTTATGTGAGATTTTCTTTTTCATATCATGGTCCAAATCGATCATCAATATGCAATTTTTTCCTCTTTGAATTTGCATGAAATAGTGTTTTTGACTTTTATGCATTAGCTAGAAATTATAGTATTGTGTAGTTTTTAGAGATTTCTGTCTTGTAGCTAAAACCAAGAATAGCATGGTCAAGGAATTCTTCACCTCTTAGAATTGGATTACATAGTGCTATTCTAATATGGCTGTTCTGGATGCCTGGTTTTACGTACTTCACTTGATACTCACTCCCATGTTGTTTGTTTATGATTTGTGACTTGTGCAGTTATTTTCTTGAGTTTCTGGGCCGAAGTGCACTATAATTCAATCTATCCCGAAGGAGGTAAAACAGCTACATATGTATTTTTAACCTCAGTTGCCAATTCTTAATTTAAACCGAGCACTATTTAAATGAAAATTCAAAACATTACTTGAGAAATTATTTAGGTTTTTGTATAATCCAGACACTGACCGTCTGTAATCAAAGAGTTAGTGAGACTTCTTAGGTATACCCCCAATTTTGGTGGATCCAGTCAAAATTATGACACGAATCTGGTTAAAAAAAAGATTAAAAAAAAAAAAAAAACCAACCTGATTCAACTCCATCAATTTATGTACAAATACTAGGTATACCAGACAACTATTATTTTGAGTTTGCTTATCTAGTTATCTATTCAAGAAATGAAAACAGGCGTTTTGTTTTTTCAATGCATATATTTCTCTAAATATATTTATGTTCCGATGACCATTTTATGTTTTTTTTTTATCATATTATCATATTGTATCGTATTTAAAATTATAAGGTTTAACTCTACCTATCTTTGGACAAGACCTTGTAGTTTTATATCATCTTGAGCCAAGTTATGGAATGATGATTAAAATTTCTATTTGCAAATGTTGTTTTTACATTCAGAACTGCCAGTGTTAGAGAGTAGGAAAAGGAAGAAATGGTGGTGGATACTTTGAAGCTTATCAGAGGATGCCTCACCATGGCGGCATGAATTTACCACTAATCTTTCAAAGGAAGCAAAACGATCGCAAATTTTTTATATGGCATTTGGTCCTTTTTCAAGAGTGGATTTCCTCTTCCTTGGGTTGCGTTTGCAGGTTAGTAGATTGAGAAGAGAACAAGTCATCTTTCTTTGTACACGCAGTTTCTTACCTTTTTTTTTATTTTTTTGTGTATATATATATATATATTACCTTTTCAGATCATTTTATTTTATTTTTTAAATCTGCGATAGGACAGTAGGTTAACACCATCCTTATTGTAAATAAGTTTATAGTAATTTGATTTATTTATTTATTTATTTTTACTAGCATTTGAAAATTTTTAATAAAAAATTTAAAAAATTATTTTTTAATCTATTTTTCTCAATAATTGAAAAAACAAACAAATTTCTACCTTTTTACATTTTTAACATGGTATATAGAATTTACAAAAAACAGAATGTATAGAATAATTTTTTTATACATAAAATTTTCATATATATAAATATGAGTAGGAATTTATTTATGCCACTGTAAATTTTATTTTATTTTATTTTTTGCTTTTTCATCAAAATTAAATTTATAGTTAATTTGAATCAATAATACTTTTAATTTTAGTCGGGATAAAACAAGTGTAAAATTTATTCTATTGATTTTAATAAATTTAAAGGATGAGAATAAATTAATTTTTTTTTTGATTTGTTTTTCTTAATACTAGTGTAAGTTTTAAATTTTTTTTTTTATCATTTGATCAAAAGTATTAAAATTAAATATTATTTTAATTTAAATTATTATAAATTTAATTTGATTCAAAAATAAAAAATGTAATATTATACTAAAATAATTGGATTTCTCCTTTATCAACAAGAGACGTAGGTTGAAAAAAAATATATGGAATAACCCTTCCAAATTATTCATGTGCAGTTGCGGCCATTTTTAATTAGGATGCTTTGTCCATGACCACGATAGCAGAGCATTATTAGGAAATATATTTATAAGATAATAAGCCTTATCAACATATAAGAATTTGCTATATATTTACACGTATGCAAAGCAAAAATTCTCAACATAGGAAAAGACTTCATCTATCATTAAGCATTTTTACATCCAAACTTCTGCTTTACAATCTGTAATTTCTATTATCTACTTCCAGAATGGATAGGAAAAATAAAAGCCATTCTCTGGTCTCATTCATCCGAAACAAACTTCGGTCAAGTCTTCTTTTCCAAATTATAATATATACAATATAATTATTGACAATGATCATCTTATTCTGCAGACCTACTAGATTTGTGTTTATCTACAACTCTTTTTTTGCAGCAAATAAGACTCAAGATGATGAATACTAAAATCACCATCCATGTCAGCTGTACAAATTGCATCTATTTGCAGTCTTCTCGTGGCAGCATGTATGGTTATAATATGGATTAGTCAAGCTGCCAATGAGGATAGCAATCCTATGCGTCTTTCTGCAGTTTTTAAAATTAGGGTTTATATAAGTTTGACATGGATGACTAATAAGGCTGGCCAAAAATAAGTAAATCCAAATTTAGAAAAAGAGATAATGTCACAAATAGTCCCTATACTTGTAAAATATTCAATATGATACTTAAATTATGAATATGTTAATTAATATAATACTTTAAGATATATTTATCACGTGTCATCATTTGAAGTTAACTACCTTAGAGGTAAGTACCACATTAATTATATATTCATAGTTCAAATACAATTTTAGAAATTTTTAAAATGCAGGTACCATGTTGAATATTTCAATATAATTTAAGGGTTATTCGTGACATTAATTCTTAAGAAAAGTACAAGGGATGCTTACCTCCGGTTGCAATAAGCTTCTCAACACGAGAAACAATATGTTTGCCATAAGTGTACCTCTTCAAGGCATTTAAATGAACCTTGATTCGAGAAAGAATCAACTCAAGATTCTGATCATCGCAAGTTTCAAGAACCTTTTGCACAACATAGTTTCCATATTGATCTTTCATCATAGCCTGTAGTTATGAGTTCAACAAATTTTAATATTAGGCAAGTGCAAAGAAAAAATTTAAACAGAAGCGGAAAAAAAAAAAAAAAAACATTCACGGAAATTGACAATTGCATAACTGCTATTTAGTTATCATTCAAATGAAAAACATATATGCTACTGATTTGCAATTATATCAGAAAGTATGAGGCTTAGGCTAGGGACACAATTTTATGCACACAGTCGTGCATATGCGTGGTTATAAAGACTTACAAAAGCATCCCCCGATACATAGAAATTTGCATCAACTGAAAATATAAAGGAAAATCTTAGGTGTGCAGGGAATGACAAAACATAATCAACAAAAAACAAAGCAGCATAATATGCACTTTTTTGGGTCTCAGGATATGCTAAGCATTCTGCATGCACACCATCTTTTATAGGATGATAGTCATTTCAATATTTTCTACATCATTTACATTTCCTGCTAAGATACTTATTCAATTGATTTATTAGAACATAATTTTTTATTATGGTCTAATGGAAAAAAACCCAGTTGAATTTCGGACTTGTTCCGAAAAGGCGAAAAGTAAGGTTTTTATAGTACTTGAACAAAAAAAAAAACTTGGAGACGAAGCGCGCACACACACATACATATATATGACCATTTGCATGTGGAAAAGGAAATTACTATTGCAACAGACCTGCAATGGCTCATTTTCATCAGTAGAACCAAGCATCTCATTGACCAAAATTTGACGTTCCTCAGGTCCACCAAAAGTCAAGCACTTCTCGACAACATTAGAAGCGAATTTCTGCTGACTCATCTTCACGATTTGTCCTGCAAGCTTGCTGATAATAGCAGACCGCTCATGTGGTTTACCATGTTCAAGAACATGCTACCACATAGAAATAGACAATGTCAGGGTCACATAATTAATACATTAACAAAGATGTTAAAATTGGACACATATCAGCAAAAGGAGGCTAGAGCAAATCCAAAGAGAAGATAAAGACTGAACTGGAAAGAAGGAATAGATGATATCTGATCTGGAAACCAAGATAAAACATTATAATGTCTAACAATATTCAAAGAAAGAAAAATCTTCTAATTACAAACTAATTCCAAAGCATATTAAAACTATGCAAAAGCAGGGTAAACTCCAATTTCTCCGATTGCAGATAAGGTAGATTACCTTTCTCAAATGAAAAGTAAATAATAGACTAGATTCAAAAGGGAAGCTTAGATACCTGAATAACATAATTCCCATATTGATCTTGAGCCAGAGTGCATACAGATTGCATGATCTCATCCATAATGATTTGTTGGGTTTTTATATCATTGCAATGTTCCAGCACCCTCTATAAGCATCATTAGTGAGCAAAAATCAATAAAACTAACTGTCAAATCTCCAGCAATGAAAGGGTATGATAAGTAAATTTCAAACCTGAATGACACGACAACCATAAGGGTGGGTAGAAAGCGCCAAGACTTGACCATAGAAAGCTGAAATGATAAACTGAATTCGATCCTGAGGGACACACTCTATACACTTCTGAATAACATGATTACCATTCTGGTCACGAACACATTTAATGATTGAACCATCAAGCTCTGCCACCATCCTGGTTTGCTGATCCACATCAACCACTTCCAAAGCCTGTGGTCATCAGATTTGTAGCAACACAAGGCATTCATCACCCCAATAAACCCAAAAGATATACAAGCAATTCACTTTAACTTGGTGAACAATCCTGATAGGACAGGACTTCATCTCATACCATTATCAAAGAAAATTGTCGAACATTAAGTCATTAAACAGAGATATATAAGTAAAATGGTTTTGTAGAGGCACTTATATGATAAGCTCTCCCCACATATATTAGCATCCCTCAACATCAGAATTTTATCAGCAAAATACTAGTTCATCAGGTAACACTCAAAGATTATTGTGTGTACTCAAAGTGCTCTAACAACAGAATAGCCATATCTATTATAATTTTAATGATTAAAAGGGTTTCATGCATCATGCAAAAGACAACCAAACCCTGGAATTTAATAGAAAATTATTCCAGTATAAAATGGAGGCTATTGATCCTCAAAATGACTCCAATATGGCATGGAATTTAAAAAAAAAAAAAAGATAGGGAAACACAGTTCATGCACCTTCTGAATCACTCTGCAACCATACATTTGAAGACTCAGAGGCAACACATGACCAGTAAGCTGACTGGCTAACTCTGCTCTTTGACTTTCTGTACCATGCTCAAAAAACTGCAAATCCAGCCCAACAATTAGACTAA